GAGTATTATTAGCATAGAGAACAGAGATTGTCCTACAGACCAACCTTTCAAACAATTGCAGTGGAAATCACTCACATGTATATTGACCTTAGTGAATTTCACAGGCACACAAGAAGCACAGAGGAAGGGCAGGGGTGAGAAAGGAAGCAAGCAAGCTACTCTATTATCTTAGGACATTTTGGAGATTGCTGATTCATAGGGTTGCCAAAAGCCAGCGGTGACTTGACAGCACACAACAACGAGAAGAACAATGAGACGGCACACAACAAAAAGATGGTACAACAACAAATGAGGACACAAACATTACTTCATAGATCTTTAAGACTGGATTCTTCCTATGCATTGTTGGAGAAATTATGGTTTATCAAGCACCCATCAGCATGAAAAACACTCTCGAAAAGCACTGATGCTTTTGATAGTGGCAGATGGTCTTTAAATTGCAAGCTTTTTAAAAAGTCTATAGGCCTTATGAGAGCCATCTATTTTGTTGATTATTATTAAGGGCTGTTCAACCTCTATCTGAAGACTATTGCTTAAAATTCTATGGGGTGATTCCTGAAAAATCAAAATGGGTTTTTTAACACAGAGAGAGATTCTAGTAAAAGGCCTTCGGTATAAAAATGTGGATTTTTTTTCTTTGAATAGCATTAAATCAATTTTACTAAAATGTGGGGTTTTTGTACTGTTCAACTTATTGTTCCTTTCTACTTCAAGCCTACTTATCAAACCTAAATGTGAGTTCAAATGTCTGAAATCTCAGTGATCATGCTGTCCACTGATTTTCACTGGGAAACAGATATGACTTATTTTTCTTTTTTACCTTACTGCAATTCTGTGCTGAATTCTTGCAATAAATAATTGTTTTAACCTATTACAAATGTATACTGATGAGTGGGTGTTTTATTTTTGTAATTTGCAGAATGAGCAACAGAGGATGAAAACTGGTTAAGGTGATGATGTAGAAATATTGCTTGGTAAATCTTCAAAATCTTCGAGCACCCATCAGTGTGGAAATACAACTTAACACTCTCCAAAAGCACTGGCGCTTTTGATAGTGGCACTTGGTCTTTAAGTTGCAAACTTTTTTCAAAAGTCTATAAGCCTTATGAGAGCTGTCTATTTTGCTGATTATTATTAAGGTCTGATCAATCTCTATCTGAAGACTATTGCTTAAAGCTCTATGGGGTGATTCCTGGAAAATCAAAATGGGTTTTAACACACAGAGAGAGATTCTAGGAGTCTTCCTTGGGTCTAAAAAGGTGAAAATCATTTTTACTTTGAATCATCTTTAATCAGTTTTACTAAAATTGTGTCTTTTTGTACTGTTCAACTTATTGTTCCTTTCTACTTCAACTTACTAACTAAATGTGAATTAAAATGTCTGAAAGCTCAGCGATCCTGCTGTTCACTGCTTTTCACTGTGAAACAGAAATGACTTATTTTTCTTTTTCACCTTACCACCAATCTGTGTTGAATCCTTTCAATAAATAATTATTTTAACCTATTATAAATGTATACAAATATGAACAAGTTATAGTACAATAAATGCTCTTTATTAAAACCAGTATATTAAAAGAGCGTTGTAAAACATACATCTAAACCTCAGAGGTTGTAGAAACACATGAAATACAGGACAGATTTACAGACTATATTTCTGCAGGGCAATTTCTCATCATCATCATCCTGAGCATTCTCCTGTGGGTGAGAATGAGACAAAATTTTAGTAAAAGTCTATAAGCCTTATGAGAGCTGTCTATTTTGCTGATTATTATTAAGGTCTGATCAATCTCTATCTGAAGACTATTGCTTAAAGCTCTATGGGGTGATTCCTGGAAAATCAAAATGGGTTTTCACACACACACACACACAGATAGATTCTAGGAATCTTTCTTGGGTATAAAAATGTGGATTTTTTTAAACTTTGAATAGTATCAAATCAATTTTACTAAAATGTGGATGTTTTGTACTGTTCAACTTATTGCATGTTTTCCTTGTCCGCCTTCGTCTCCAAATCACCGTGGTCTCCACAAAGAGCGGCAAGCATGCACAGAAGGGCCCCAAAATCCCCACTGTGGTGTTTCAGCCCCAGGAGGCCTAAGGACATGCTGAGGCATGCCCTACAGCCATCCCTTTTCTAGCCAAACCCCCTCCAACCTCTTCCCATTGGCCTACAGGGCTGCTGGGCAACACGTCACTTCAGGGGGCCAATCCTGAGGCCGTGCTCTGGTCATGGGGGACCCAGGTGTCTATGAACCCCTCCTACAGGTCCATGGTCACCTCAACAACCCCTTACATCACCCTAAAGCCCCATCCAGGGGTAGGGGCCTGGGTCGATTCTTGACCACTTTGTCCCACCTCAAAGGGGCAGGGTACCTGTTAAAATTTGATTTGATGGATGCTAGGTATTTATACTACTTATCTGCTGTTGTGGTTGATGCAAATATCACTTGGCAACTGAAAACTATTGAAAAGGGCTTGCTTTTCATAACTCTTCAGACGTTTCTTAACTTCATTTCTTTACAGTCCTAGCCAAGTCCTAGCTAGTGATGATGCATGATAGAAATAACAGTAAGTGGAGGGAGGAGGATGTTTTTTCCACTTTTATTAGAGCTTCATAGCTCACTGGTATAACTCCAGATGGTTGCCACCAGTGCATCCAAACAGAACTGCATTGAATAAGGTGAACAATTCCATTTTTAGAAACTTCACAGTCCAAAGCAATAAGTGATACCTGATTATGCCACCCACTGTGCCCATGTATTTTCGTGTGATATAAATGGACAGATCATTGTGGATAGAAAAAGGTTGGTTTCATGTTCAGAAACATCTTACAACAAGGCTATCATCTTTGCAGAGGACTTGGAGAAAGAAAGCCATACCCTATTTGGGAAAAGACAAAATCTATCTGCCCTTTTTGATTGTACTGGGACAGGGACTTGCTCAATATCAAAAATAAGGTGTTCAGGATCTTTGCCTATGCTTGGCTTCTCCTGTATAAGCAAAGCAATTTGAATAAGAGTATAACAATCAAACATTAAAAATCAAGAAATATTGGGACATTCTACAAAACTCACAATCCACACCCTCAGATAATAAAGAAACAGACATGCAGCAAAGATGTGAAATCTTTTTACATCTAGGGAACTTCTTGAAGAACATCCCTGACAATTGCTTTCTGTTTGGATGGGAAGTGATTAACTGATAAAAAAAATGAATTAGGTTCTAAGATTTTCTGCTGCTTGGGGTTTCTTTGTGAATGGTAGTGAGCAGAAGAGGGTATTCTGTAGGCCATCTTGACTGCTTCCACTGGTGTTGTCGACATTCAGGCTGCCCTTCACTATGAAAGGTTTGGCACCCTTTTTCCTGCTGGCAATGGCACGATATTGTGCATCAATATCTTACTATTCCTTGGCATTTTTGAATCATGGCTACAGAAGGACAATATCCTGGCTATGAAGGGTTTGGCACCCTTTCTCCTGCAGGCAATGGCACGATATTGTGCATCAATATCTTACTATTCCTTGGCATTTTTGAATCATGGCTACAGAAGGACAATATCCTGCATTCATAAACTGGAGATTCTTTGTAGAATTGAATTACTTGGCTTTTTAAAATGGAAGTTACACATACACTACACACAAATTCCAACAGAAACTTCCATGTAAAATTACTCTGTCCTAGAGGATCCCAGAAAATGAGCATATGATATAGCTACTACAGAAAGGCAGAACGAAGAACAGCTGAGATTTGACTGCAGACCAAAATACGTTGAAAGGATATTCATGAAATGGTGAAGCAAAACTGTGAGTGAGTGAAACACATATAACAGAGAAACACAAACACACTTTAACTTCTCAAGTAAACTAATGTTTTCATGCCTGCTCTACAGAATGCAGACTAGAAAGCTATCTTCTAGTTTCCAACCACCTGCTCTACAAACATGATGCCTATATGTTTTCCAAAAGATCTCCCTTTACTTTTGAAATAATTTAAAAAAGAAAGAGGTTGGAGTTAGCAAAGAATGTCACTGGAAACCAAGGTCAAAATCATCCATGCTATGTGAAAGAAAGACAGGGACAAAAATCAACTCATTTGAAATGAACTGTTGGAAGTGATATTAAAGACAGCCAGAAAAGGAGAAACATGGATCAATTAAGTCAAGCCTGAACTCTCACTAGAGCAAACATGAGTAAATTGAGCTATCCTACCTTGCACATATAATGAGACTGCAGAACTAACCAGAAAGACTATTGTTGTGGAAAGAGATATGGAAGGGGGAGAAGGAAAAGAGAACAGCATAACATGCGTTTGTTGGCTGTTGGCTATAATAAAAAAAATTATAACCTGTAACTTAGCAGAATTTGCATATAGGAACTGGAAATGTTAAGACTAAAAAGCACTGTATAAGATTTGCATGTTTGTGCCATATGTATTTGTGCCAACAATTGATGTTCAAATAATCATTTGTGCTTTGATTAAAACATGAAATAATTTTTACTGTTTATAAACATCTATAAAATGCAAACATAACTTATAGTGCTTAGACATTTGGTATGACAAATATTTTTCTGTAGTAAATAATTATCTCATCATAATATTCTTATACTTGTAATACACTAGCTGGTCCTATTACAAATTAGTCACATCTTTATATCTGTCTGAGGTACATTTTGTTGTATGAGAACCTGTCTATTACACATTTAGTTCTCTCCCTTATTGGTCCTGTCAGGCCTATCTTAGTTACATGTTTAGCCCTATCAGCCCCTGTTGGACAGACTTCTGACTGGCACATGCCTTACATAGCAGGCCAGATGACTACAGGTACATTCTGATTGGTTAGAATCACATCATGTGCAAATACAACATTCTGGTTCTAGCAAACACATTTAAACATTCATCCACATATACATATATATGTAGATATGCATATACATGTATGTGTATATGTATACAGTTTACTCAGTGAAGGAATCCATAGTTGTTAATTTGCAAGACCTGATCAGAACTTTTGGAAAATGCAATATTGCTAGGAAGGAGGGAAGTAGAAAGAAAGAACAACTTAATAGAAGATTGTTGGTTTACGAGGAGTCCGGCTTGACGTCGTGATGATATAGTCCAGAGTTCTGCTCCCCGATACTGCTTTTCAGCCTGCTAGGGAGCCCCAAGGGGCTTAAGTCACCCTGGAGAGGTGACGAGCGAGGGGGGGATACCTGTAGATCATGAAGATAATGGCAATTGTCTTCGTTTGATCCAGGAAACTCCTCAAACCAGCAGGAGAAAAACAAGCCACTTGCTTGCTAGCAGCTTGTCCAAGTCATCAGCTGCTGAAGAAAAACAGCACTAAGTTCTGGATATTTTACATTGTGTTATCAACTTGGGTGAGACTACTTTTCTTCTCCTTTTACTAACTCTATCAACATTCCTGACTAAAATAACTCCTTAAAAGAAAGAAGGATTCTAAGCCGTCCCCCAGCTGAAGAAAGGAAAGCAGCGACAAAGAAAGGAGCGGTCCGCTGCTCTGAAGGGGAGGCTAAGAAGGACATGGCAACATTAATCTGTTTTTGTTAGAACCTTTCAGAAAGCAAAAGAGGGGAAATAATGGGTGTTTTTTTAACTTAATATTGCAAATGGAGATCGGGAATCATCTTTCCAGGCATTAAAGAGTGGACACAAAACTCTGAAACTTTGTTGTGTCTAAACGGTGTCTAAACGATGGAACTGGCGGTGAGCTCAGATGAAGAGCAACAGATATCTCTTATAATGACCTTGGCTTAGCTAAAACTTTTAAAGCCTGTTTTTTTTT